ACGAAAATAGTGACTAAGATTTTGGGTTTTCTTATCATCAGACACCTAAATGAACCTTGGGAACAAAAAACCCGAGAAGACCAGACAAGTTTCAGAACTTATTGTGGAAGTATCCACCTTCCTCCAGGATGTATGAAACTAGCAGAATAACCAGCGCCCGACACTAGAAGTATCTAAGCCTCAATATGGAATTCAACTCACTCAGTAGGGTCGTCCTATGGCAACATCTCTCACTGAAGGGAGTACTGGGTGAGTACCTCAACCTGTTAGAGACGCCATATACGAATAACTGTAGGATTATTAGAAGTCATAATAAAGTATCTGGTGAGATGTGTAGGTCAAGTGGTGTCCACTAAGATCTCCACTATCTCCATTCTTACTTAATTGTGTCAAATATATACCTACCAAAACCTCTACCACCTTATTCAGCTATACAAAGACTAAGCTTATCACAGAAGACTCTTTAGAAGACCTAGAGTACGCAGATGACATAATCATGTCAGGTGAAGATGCTGATAAGATGTGGAGTTTTATGAACTTCATAACTGGGAAACCGAGAATGTTTGGGATGCATTTCTCACCACCCAGGTGAAAATTGTTGCTTCAGGACTGGTTCACGCTAGTGTGGTATTTAATAATTGGGAGTGTAGTGGTTGACAGCTTTGACTACTCTACTTACTCGGTAAGTCGAAAAAAACCTCTGTAGGTCAGTTATCAAAGCATTCTGTGCACAGATACAAAAGGTTTGTTTGATGGTTGTCTGTTGGCAGCATTTATGGTGCCACCCTGATATACAGTTGTTTACTAAGGACCGAGTCTAGTGCGTTGTATTTTGCCCTATTGTACTATGTGATTATTGAAGGTGGAGGAGATGAGGAGATAACAGGTGTTCGACTTTCATTGTCTTTTAATCATATGCCATGTTTCTTTGTGTCATTACATCAGTAATGTATAAGTTAGAGAGCTTGAAGTATAGGAGAAACGTTCGTTGATCAGGTGATGACTATTCGTCGACTAATATGGCTGTGGGATGTGTTACTTATACCTAGTCGCTGACTACTTCGTCGTGCAATGTTAGCGTAAGCTGCTACAGGCTATAAAAAGTTTAAAGGCTACTAGGCTAAAATGGAACATAAGCTCTTCAGTTCTCTGGTCAGAGTAGTATGGTAAAATGTAGATATTTCGGTTGGGGTTGGTGTGATAGCTGTAATCAGTGGTTGGAGACTCTAGGTGGTGTTGCTCAAAATCGATATTCAAAAAAAATGAGATCCACTCAGCAACTTTGCTCATATTCGTGCACTGGACAATAAAGCACACCTTTTGTGTATGGGCTAGAGATACTACTTGGTTGCCCAGAACTTAGTAGTTTGATTTGAGTTCGAGCTCACAATCTATGGGTTTAAAATCAAGTACCCAGACTAATGGCAAACAACTAATTCTTCACTGAAACCGTGCAGCCAAGGTGCATGGATACTTGTTTAAAAATACTTGGTCAACAATAACCTCTTCCGAAGCAGATTATGAAGAGTGAGGTTTCCTCAAAGTTGTCGAACTTATTTGAAAAAAACATCAGAAGGAATGTTAGTCTTTACTGTTGATTTCAGTGCACACGTGTATCTAATGTTCAAGGCATTACATGCCAATAAAATAATCAATTTATGTTAATAACTACTTTCCATGGTCTACATAGACATGAATGTCATGTCAATACAGTGGTTTGTTTTGCAGAGAGACAAGTAAACAACTTAGTAGGTGATACCTGTACAAAATGACCTACTTTAAGTCAGAACAACAGGGTAAAAGTGAGCAAAAAACAACGAGATGAAAATGGTACCAGAAGCTGTGAAGATATTTATCGGGTAAAAAGTTAGTGTTTGGTGGATACATCTACGTTCCAGTGATTTGGCTATTCGAGTCATTTTTAAATTTCATCTTCTCCCATACACTTTTGTCTACTTTGATGTCGGTCTTTTTATCCACTTCTTTCCTTGCTACTGTTAAGTTTGGCAACTTGAACGGATGCACTGGTGTTCTAGGTTCAACACTGATTTTATCTGTCTGTCTGTCTTGTTCCAGGTATCGATCCTGGATACAAATGGATCAAATTGCAGTTACCTACATATGGCAAGAATGTACTCAGGACTGCAGTCCCTTTGGGAGCACGTTTTTCGACTCTAATCACGTCTCAGTGTGTCCAAAGTTGAAATAACATTTGATGGTCATCCAAACCGTCGTCCAAAACGGGTTGACGTTTGCAAACTGGTTGGACATGGTATTACATCTAGATACCAAAACGAGCCAGATTCAGGGCTATTTGTCACTTCTAGGAAGTATAAATGTTCACTGACAGCACTTAAAAGACACTTTGGTAACGATGAGTTTAGCTGCTCAGGGCTTCATGGAACGTCCTGCTGGTAAACACTAGGTCTCTATGAGCTCTGCGAATTTTTGACGCTCATTAGTGTGTTCCAGTAAACAGCGATTACAGTGACGTGCGTAAGGACCGCGAAGTTCGGTGGTTAGAACGCAAAAGTAAGATGAAAGCGGCGGCTGCGTCTGGCAACAGTCAAAAGCTCTTCCACCTCACCCGAACCTCCAGCAACAAAAAGCCTCTTGTTAGTGAGACGATCTGTGAGTGAGTGGCATACCGATCATCGAATTTCATAGACATCTGGAACGCAGAGTGAAGCGCTTTGGAAAGCAGTTCAGCTGTCCTATTGCTTCAGAAGCATCACCCTCAGTTTCTTGTACTCCATGGTCAGTTAACATCGATCCACCTAACAAGGTAGAGCTCTGTAAGAAACTCCAAGACCTAAAGCTCCTTGAGGCACCCGGACCGGACAATGTAACCCCTTCTCTTTTTAACGATGAATGTGAGACTAGTCAGAGAACTGCCTACATCGTTTGAGAAGTTATGGCAGATTGAGAGTGTTCCATCATTATGAAATGAAGCTTAGTTGTATTCATCTTTAAAAAGGGTTTACTTAATTTATTTTAAAATCATCGTAGTATCAGTCTGCTACCGGTAACATCTAGAGTGTTGGCTTCTATCACACTTCGCAGACTGTACAAATTACGTGAGAATCTGATCGGTGAGTTGCATCGTGGTTGCATCGATCATGTGTTCACCTCCATCCAGATCCCAGAACACCGTCATATCTGTTACAGGCCAACGATCGTTGTATAACTTGATTAACGAGCTGTCTTCGGTTTTTTGGACAGGTCTGTACTTTGGAATCGCCTGTTGGAGAGGAGCGTAGCTGAGAAGTTCTTAATATCTTGAAAGGCTTATACACTTCAACGGACTAGGTAGAGTGAAGGGTTACAGCTACCTTCATCCGTTGTTCCAGAACGGTGTGAAGGTTAGGCAAGGCTGTCCATTTTCACCATTCCCCTTTAACTTTGCCATAACTGAAATTCTGTAGAGAGCCCTCAAGGAGGTTCACCTGTCACCAAATGAAAGACTTTTAGACCTGGAGTTTGCGGTTGATATGTTTTTATTATAGACACGTACAGGCTGCTCAGATCAGTTAGCAATCACTGTCCGTATGTATGGTGTGTTTTGCGCCATCAAAGTGAAAAGTACTTCTAAAAGATTTGCAGAAGTTGGTACCTCCAGTAATCGATGGTGGTGGATCGCTGGGACTTGTTGAAAATTTTGTGTACCTGGGTATCTGAGTGTTGATGGAGGTGTGACTGATGAGATTTCCAATAGTATAATGAAAGCTAAAGTATCTTACACGTCTTACTTACCTCGCTTGATAAAAGTTCCCAAGTTTACCAAGTAAACTGTTTTCTTGTTGCTGTTGTTGGTTGTATTATCCCGTTGTTGATTGGGCATAATTGATCGGTCTCTATTGATATATGAGCTCTTGCGCGGATACCTCCATCATCAATATATAATTAAAAAACAGCCAATATCGAGGCATCCGCGCAGGAGTCCATATGCCAATAGAGATTGGTCAATTCGGTCCAGTCAACGACGGGATAATACAAGCAACAACATTAAAACTATACCCGTCGCACAAGAAGTAGCTATCATGGCTCGGTGATCTGATGGATAACGCTCTGGTGTTTGAAGCGATCGGTTCCGAGTTTGAGTTCCAGTGGAAATAACGTCACTCACTGGGAAGCAGGTAGGTACATGCAGGTGACCAGTCCCAAATAGGACGAAACGCGCTTGCTGGATTCCACTGTTAGCCACTGTATATCATTAATATAACCTATATCCCTCACCAATAACTCTGTGCCTTACCTTTGCATTACTAAGATAGTAGTTCCACCCCGCATAAGTGTTGCAATGAGGACAGTGGTGGTCAAGTGGTTTTTTTATTTTATTTTCTTGAAATAATGAAATAAAATATCTAGCTTCGTGTATGTGAGCGACTTGTTTGATTGCACGTAGGTTGTTAGTATAATCCTGGTATACGTACCAAGAATGTAGTTGAAGTTTGATAATTTCCATCTACCTTTGAATTGCATCACGTAGTGATTTGTAAGTTGAGGAGTGGTTCAACTATGCAGTGTGACTAAGATATAACCACTGGAAGTGATTAATATAATGAGTTCAGTAGCAGATTTCCACTACTGCCTTCAGAGGATATTTGGAGTCAAGTGTAACCATCGAGTTAGCTCTTTTTACGTTGAGCAGATCGTGCTTATTGAGGAAATTAAGTTGGTTATTGAACTACTCAACATTTGATGACTGCAACAATGAGTAATTGATGGTCTCGAATCAAATATAGGCTCGAGTTCTTTTTCCGTCCATAAAAAGTGGTTATTCATACTGTTGTCTTTTCTTTCTGCAATCTCAACCTTACCTACCATTTATGAAAGAGCAACACTAATTATTATTATTCCTTGTCGCTTGGGTTCCCAGTGGAACATAGGGCTTCAGTAGCACGTCTCCATTTCACTCTGTTCTCTGTAATCTTTTCAACCCGGCTCCATGACTGCTCAGAAGCTTTCATTTCCTCCTCACACCATCTACTCCATGTCATCCTCGGACAACCAACTCGTCGTTTCCATTTGGACTCCACTCAAGTGTCTGGTCTTGAGCATGATATCCCCAACCTGTCTTCTCAACGTATGCCTAATCCAATCTAATCCAATCGATCTCCATTTTCTTCTGCATATTTGTAGGGCAATGGGTTGTTGGTTGTTTCGTTGTCAGCCAGCGAGCCAGAGTTCCTCGTTGCTTCGTGGCCATCTGATATGATCTTCAATATCGAGTGAGCGTAGGCAGCAGCTATTGATGAATGTCTGTAGTTTGTTGGAAATGCTTTGCGTAACGCGCCAAGTCTCTGAAGCATCACACAGAAGCATTGACTTGGCATTGTTACAAATCCCGATCTTGTTCTTCATGCGGATTGCAGTCGATCTTCACACTGGTTTCAGATTAATGAAGACCTGTTTTGCTTTCCCAATTTTGGCTTTGATTTCCTCATCTATGCCGCCTGTAGTTGAAACGATGCTGCTTGCCTAGATAGGTGAAAGAGACTACTTGCTTTAGGTTTCTCCCGTTGATGGTGATTGTTGTTGTTGTTGTTGGTGGCGTTGGTTGGGTATCATCATCACCTCTGTCTTCTATAAGTTTACCTGAAGGAAGTCCCGTCTTCACTGTTCTGCCTCTTCTATCAACTTGTAAATTTTCTCCTGTAGTTCTTCGAGTTTGTACGACAAGACATTAGACATAAATCATCACCATCGGCGAAATCCAAATCTTCTAGGATCTTTCCATCAGTCCAGCCAGAGTATGCTCGTCTTCTCAGTCCTCACGGTTCGGTGAATGATTCAGTCTAGTCCAGTCCAGTCGACCACAACCACGAAGATCATTAGTGATAATAGGTGGTAACCTTGTCCTACTCCTTCCTGTCTTCACTTCAGAGGTATCACTGACCTTTCTATTGTGAATCACTTGGCATGTGGCGTCGTCATATAGCTGTTGAATGAGGTTGATAAAGGTTTGTGGCACTAACTTTATGGCGTTCAGGGTTTCGACTTTCGTCGGAGGTCTTGTGTTCAGTGGTAGTTCTATGGCTGCAGTTTGTATTTCTGGATGAAGTGCAGATGGTGGTCGATTCAAGAGCTTTCTGAAGTGATCAGCCCATCGTTTCCCTTCTTTGGTAATTAGATTTCCTTCATCATCTTTTGTTGGTTTCATGTGTGTGGATCTCTTCCCTCTCAGATAGTAACCTGATTGTTCAATACAATGTTGTTTGGTCTCTATCTCTCATACCTGGAGTCTCTTCTGCTTCAGTTGTGTGTCGTAGAAGTGTCTTTTGTCATGGTGCTCACTCCTCTTCACTTCCTTGTCCGGTGTAGTGTTTTGTAGGTTGTGTTCAGTTCCTCTTTTCGTTGTTCATCCCTGCCCTGCACTTCACTGCACTGCACTTCATTGGTTCATCTTCTCCTTCTCCTACACCATCAATATCTTCCTCTCCCTACTCTATCAGCTTCCATGTGTCCGTCGAGATCCATTCCTTGTCCTGTATAGTTTCTTCTTCCTTCCTAGTACGGTTGTGTAGGTTTCTTTCCACATCTCTTTCACAGAGTTCCAGTGTTCTTCCACACAGGTTTCTTCAGGTATGTTGCTCAATATCTCCCATTTTGTCCTGATGACTGACTGACGTGAATATGTCGTTTGTAGTTTCGTCCTTTAGCTCAGTTTATGTTCTGTGTGTTGAATTTGAACTGTGGCCTATCACCAACTACTTTGAAGGCTTTCACCTTGATTTTGAAAGTTGCACTCGTTGCACTTGATGGTGAGTGGTGTGAACCACCCACATCTGCTCCCTTCTTGATCTGATCTTGTGTCCAGTAGGCTGACTGCATCTCCACTTCCTTGAGATTGAGATGAAGTCGATGTGATTTTTAGTGTAGTGTGTCCTGGTGTCTGGTGAAATCAAATCCATGTTGCTGCCTTGTCAATATCGTTGTGTTTGTACACATGCCTGGCCTCCAATCACCAAGTCGTTGAATGCGCAGAAATCTGCAAACAGTTCTCCATTCTCATTCAATTCACCAAGTGCTTCTTGACCCATGATGAGTTCTCTTCCTTTTTTGTCTGCTCCCAGCTTCTCATTAAAACATGTCACCTCACTCATTTCATTGGAATGGATTTTGATGTCGCCAACTGGAGTGTAGTCTTGTCCAGTACAGATTGCAGTTGTCCACAGAATTCCTCCTTCTTCACTTCATCTGCTGCATTATTTGTAGGTGCGTAGAGTAGCATTGAATGATTGTGGCTTTCCTTCCTTTTGAGTTGAATCCATCTTGGTGTCAACATCCTGATGCTGGAGGAGACTGGTTCCCACTGCATGAGAGAGAGTCCTCGATGCTGTTGGTAGGAGGAGATGATGATAGCCACTCGCGAACTCAGTGTGCTCGTTCGTGGTTGTCGTCTGGGGACAATATTGGAGTAGATTATTTAATGTTGAGTTGACAGTTTGGAGAGTCCACTTGCATTCGATCTCCTTTCGCAGACTTCTAGCACTCCTATGCCATACCTTCTTATCTCTTTTGTAATCATCTGGGCAGTCTTGCTAGGTTCAAACATTGTGTGGACATTGTATGCCCCCTTCCTTACTTATGCTTTGATCGAGAGAAGAGAAGACACATCGGGCAATTGGCTTTGTGAAGGCTTCCACCAACTGGCGTCATTCGTCTCTCTGATTCCAGCGAGGAATAAATTTGTTTATATTTTTAATGTTTTTCTTTGTGCTTCGAAGTTTGTTTAGCGATTGGATTGGTTTTCTGGGGGTAGTGTTGCTAGCTCTATGCCCAAATTTTCCTCTTTATCTGAGCTTAGGACCGGATAGTAACTAGTGAACTAGTTACCTGGGCGAGTTTAGCAACACTAATTGTTGATACTAAATTGCATCTGAAATACTCTCTAGTGATTAATACATTATCGAATGAATTACCTAACATAGACTTCACGTTCATTCTTAAACTGAGCATAAATGTATTATTCAGTTATTTGAGACTAAAGTAAGTGTTTCCGTTATTGCGCCACACAAACGTTTGGTGTCGTAATGGCTGTGCACTTTCCAACAGAAAAGCTAAAGGATGTAGAGGGGTTGGTACAGCATTGTGTAAAATATACTATTATTTGTGAGGAAAAGATTTTAGCCTGTTAGGTCTATATAATGGTTAATCATTGTTTTATCTGTAACCAATGAAGCTATTTCTTTTGAAATCGTTAGCCCAATAACTCAGCTTTCCAACATAAGGATGAATTTCTGATCTTTCCTCCCTTGTGGGAGACTTTTATTTCACCAATCAAAGAACTACACAAGAAAGGTAAAACGAACTAAAGACAAAATAATATGTTTGGAATTTATGAAAAGGCAAAGTAAAATTGTGCGTGCCCCACTGGTCGATTTTAAGTCATACTATCCAGTTTCCAACAATTGATTTTAATTGCTCTTGAATCCCAACTGGAAATTCTACAGCTCCTCATAAATATCAGACTGAAGGTCATAGACTTCATAGAAAGAATGATTCTGTCTTGATCCCTTAACACAGATTTTTTTCCAGATTTATTTGTAATCCCACTTTTCGTTGCACTTTGAAGATGCTGGTTGCGCGCAGGTAATGTTTGTTCTGACCAACTCGTTCTTTGCGGGTTAATTACTTGAATAACTGGTTTACCTTTTCACCTGGTACTTAGCGCGTAACAGAAAAACACTACTCAGCTAGTGGTTTTGTCATACATAGGTGGTGTTTCTAAAACACATATGATTAAATGTCTGAAATCTTCATTTTTAATTCAGCCTTAGCAACCATGTTTCACAGGCCTTTACTGATAGAGGTCGTACTGATTCATACCAGAGATGACTGCTTCTTAGGTAAGCGAGATGAGTCACTCGATCACTTCAATCAATTGCCAACGCAGTCATAGGTGAAAAGCAGGTGATACTGTATCTGAGGCGTGAGAAACACATTTGAACCATTTGCTTCCATTTTTCCAGTATGTGCAAAAGGCTTTGCAATTTGTCAATGCCTTTATCTTACGGAATTGTCGTATGGGTACTTAATTATAGGAGAATGTTTAAAAACATATCACAGATGTATTTATTCTTTATCATCTAAAAAGTTATCAATCTTCAAATCTGATGACGATTAATCTACTTCTAGGCCTCTGTATCACAGTACAGTGGTCGACATTTTCAGCTTCATTGAACATGCATCAATAGCCCATAGACGGCAGTTTTTGCTGCTACCTGTTTGTATATACTGTTAATTCGATGTGTGCGTTAAGTGTTTTTCATTTAAATTTTGTACTTTGTTTCAGGAAGTACATGTTAAGCGTGAAGCTGAAATCAACAGTCTCAATGAATTAATATTCAAGCAAAATCTTAAATTGCAACGACTAGAACGTGATTTACTCAATCGTGATTCAGAGTTGAGCGTTCTACGTAAACGTTGTCGCATGTTTGATGAAGTTCTTCGATATAAGGCTACATTAGCCAAATTAACTATTACAATGGAACAGGCTGAACAGTATGCAAATCTTACTGCGAAAAGTTATCCTGCCAATAATAACAGTAATGCTGTGAGGGATTCTCTTGACGTCATCAATACTGATCCGGCCCCTCTTATGATACGCGATGTTGATGTGAACATAGATAGTAATCATTCAACAGAAAATGGTAGTTTAATGGAACAGGTTGGTAAAACATTTGTTCAGTCTGAAGGTCAGCGGACAAAAACATTAGCTCACATTGTTAGTAATGGTCAGATGTAAGTTTTTTTTTATCTGCACGCATATTTGTGTGCCTTAATTGCACAATGTCTCTCTCTCTTTCTGTGTCTTTGTCCCTGGCTAATTGGCTGTGAAGTACCCGTATTTATATGGATACACAGATATGTTTTGGTTATTTCAGTTTCGTTTTAACTTTTTTTGTCGAGGAATTTCAATAGATATTTCAAAAAATGTGTTAATCTGTATATTATGGAGAATTTCTTGACGTACTTTGTATCTTGAGTTTAATATGATCACATTTGTGTTGACAATGATGTTCAATAAAATATTTTATCCTCTTTCAAAATGCCTACATTAGCTACACTTGATAAACTCTGTCATTGACAATGGAAATAATGATAATCACTCTATTATAAACAATATGTTTGATACAGTAATAGTTCATCAAATGCAGTCATTTAACTGATAGATGAGAAAGGAAAACCATACAATTAAAACGATTGAGAATACAGTATAAACAAGAATTTTAAATAGGAGGAAGAAGACTTATGTCCTGTCCTAGTTCCCAAATAGGACTCATTTGTTGTATGAATCTGCTCAAGCATGAAGAAAAACTTATACTTCTAATAAAATTTCAATACAACTGAAGAAATTTACAAAGTTAGAGAGTGACGAAAGCCTTTTGTCACAAATGGTGGCAGTTGTTGGGGAGGTACCTGCAAGAATAAAGCATGAATGAATTTCAATCAGAAGTCGATTACTCAGTGAGGTCGCTCACTATTTTCTTGCTGGAACCAGTCAGTTGAAGACTTTGATGGTGATAGGTTGGTTATCTCTGCAGTCAGTTAGTGATGGTATGAGACCTGGTATTACTGCCTAACGCCCCAAAATTTCCATATGTCATATTACTTCACCAAGTTAGGAGGCACTATAATGAAACAGAGAAAAAAGGAGGAAAGTAACATAAATTTGTCTGATCCTGCCCACCTTTAACCTGTTTGCAGCCTAGACGTACTTCACATAAAATTACGTGACGGGATGGACGGTGGATAGGCACGTATAGCACGTGTACCAGCTGTCTAATTCTAAGAATGTTCATGATCTCATCAACTGACTTTCCTCTGGTACCTAAAACTCGACATCTTACCAAACAGTAATAGTCAATTTATTTCATACAACGTGTTTGATACATTGTGGAATTCTCAGCATGTAGTATTTCAACAAATTTACTCCATGTACAATATTTTCAGAAGAAACAGTTATTTCATCTGAGTGATGTTAAGAATAACAGTTTCATGAGTAATAAGACATAATGACTAGCTGTTGTTAATTGATATGTTGGTCTGAAAAAGGAATAAATGCAAAAGTGTGCGGACGGTTAGTGGTCGTGGTTCATTTAGTCAGTACAAAAGCCTGCAATTTCAACTAACTTCTTCAGGCATTGTAGTATGATATGTTGTTGTGCATCTAAAAGTTCATTGTTACCTACCTGGACGCTTTTCTCCATTTTATTATTAATTTGTGAAACGACAGGTTAAGAACGTATTAGAAATACGTGAGTGTGTAATGACACTCAAAGACATGTTTTAAGGAATACGACAAGTTGACAGGGGACAGTTTGATCTAATATATTCGGTGGAAGGTGTTTGGTAACCCAAGGTCCAAAAAGGGCACCGCTGGAGTTTAGAGGTAGCCTAGGTTGTACTGTAGTGGTTGTTGCAGGTGATTTCAATGCACAGGTGGGTAGGCTGAGTGAGACAGAAAGGCACTTAGGTGGTACTTTTGGAGTCCCGGCTGAACGAACAGATAACGGTGATCGCCTACTACTGTGTTCGGATAATCGCCTATTTTTAGCCAGCACAAATTTCAGACATAAAAAAAGACACTGTCTGACGTGGCGTCCACCGAGCTCAACCCAGCGATGAACACAGACAGGCCACATCGCTATTAGTCATCGGTGGAAAACTGCCGCTCCTTCTGGAGTAGGTGTTTGGATAGCAACCACGCGTTGGTCCGAGCACGTATATGCCTGCGTCTCAATGGACGCAGGAAATATTTGGCGACAAAACCACTGCGAGTTCAGCTCGACAACGAAAATACCAAAGCCGTGTTCAGTGAGAGGTTGGCTAGGCAGTTATCGGAACAAAAAACTATCACTCATCCAGAAGAAGCCTGGTGCCATCTTCAGTCTGCTGTAAAAGCAGCGCTGAAGACCGTAGCCGACTCCAGAATAATGGCTAAAAAGAACCAGTGGATATCAGCAGCTTCTTCCGAACTAATGGATGCACATGAACGCATCTCTGCAGGCCCCTAGTACAATGAAGAGCTGGCACAGCTTGGAAGTAGACTGAGAAAAAGTTTACGCAACGGACTAACTCCCGAGGTATACAAGGATGGTGGTGGAGTGCTCTTAGTCGGGTTAACGGTAGTGTTAATCAGTATATGGGAATCAAATGCAATCCCTTTTGACTAGTCAAAGTCACTGATTATCCCAGTCTTCAAGAAAGGCGAGAAGTCCTCTTGTGATAACCACAGAGGAATCAGCCTGACGAACATAGTGTCCATGATCCTAGGTTCTAAAATTCTTCGACGCCTGAGTGGAGCTCAGGAACAACAAGCTCGAGAAAACCATGGAGGCTTTAGTCCCGGCCATGGGTGTATCGACCAAATATTCACACTACTTCAAGTTAAGGAACACAGACACGCTTACCGGCGCCTGACACTGGCTGCAATTCTCGACCTGAAGGCGGCATTCCACTCCGTTGCTCGAGAAGTCTTATGGCAATGTCTGTCACTGAAACGTGTGCCGAGTAACTACATCACCTTATTGAAGGCTCTCTACTTGTGGGCATGTTAGAGCCTATGGTGAGATGTCAGATGAGCTGTACTCATCGAGTGGTGTCCGTCAAGGGTACCCACTCTCTCCATTCTTATTCAATTTTATCATAGATATTCTTATGAAGGTCTCCCTCTCATCACCTGATTACAGAGAGGTTGACCTAATCGGTGTAGAATTTTCGTTAGATTTTGAATATGCAGATGACATAGTCCTGTTAAGTGAAGACGCTGACAAGATGAAGAGTTTTCTGAACACTTTGAATGGGAATTAGAGAATGTTTGGGATGCGTTTCTCATCACCCAGATGCAAGTTGTTGCTCCAGGACTGGTCTTCAACGGTGCCACGGCTAACAATAGAGAGTGAAGTAGTTGAGTATGTCGACTACTTCACTTACCTGGGAAGTAGGGTCAGCGCTGGTGGGTCAGTGGCCGATGAAACCTCTGCACGGATACAAAAGGCTCGGCTGGCTTTCGCCAGTTTACGCCACCTATGGCGCCGCCGTGATATCCGACTGTCTATTAAGGGTCGCGTGTACTGCACAGCAGTTCGGTCTGTTCTACTGTATGGCTGTGAAACATGGCCATTGAAGGTGGAAGACATGAGAAGGATGGCTTGAGGTGTTTGACCACCTTTGCCTTCGTAGTATAGACTGCATTCCGTGGTGTCACTACGTGAGTAATGCAGACGTCAGGAGTAGAGTTTTAGGGAGGGAGAAGAGGTAAATCATTTGATATGGTTGTGAACCTTCGTCGAATGAGATGATTGGGCCATGTGTTACGTATGCGTAGTCGCTGTCTGCCTGGTCACACAATGTTGGCCGAAGTAGGTTCAGACTGGAAAAAGGCCCGAGATGGCTAGACTGAAACACGGCACCAATGTATGAAGTCTCTGACTGTTGATTTGAGCCATGTGGGACGATGCAGACTATGCGGTTGAGGTCCGGTGGACAAGAGGAACCAGTGGTTGGAGACTCTAGGTGATATGGCTGAGAACCGATGTGAGTGGCGCAGATGTTTACGCACATTTTCCTTATCTTAAGGCTATCTCAAATCTCGCCATTTCTCATTTTTCTTTTCTCTCTTTTTGTACTTTATATTTCTTCTGACTGAATTTTCGTATAACATACTGCACTTCACTGCCTTTTAACTTGATGTACTGATATGAAGTGTGGTAACTTGGACCGTTACGCATTAATGTCTGGTTGATCTGGGTGGATGGATGGTAGTCCTGTCAATTTGTAAGGTATTTATCTTACGCCAGAACTATATTCGAAAAAATTGTTTTTCATTTCCTCTGTTTGTGTGGTTGTATTTGTGTCCTGAGGACTTGTGACTTGCTTGTCATTGAAACCAGTTTTATTTTGTTCATTTGAGTTCAGCATCATCTTTATTATTATATGATTATTTTTCTCTTGGTTTCCTAGTGGGCTTCAGTAGCACGCCTCTACAGTCTTTTGAACCTGGCTGCACGACTGCCGACAAGCTTTCGTTTCTTTCTCACATGATGTCCTCCATGTCACCCTCACCTGGGACGCCCGACTGGTCGTTTCCGCTTTGGATTCGGCTCGGAGGTCTGACCTGGCCTGACTGGTGATGTCCTCAGTCGGCCTTCTCGGTGTATTCCCAATCCATCTCCACTTTCTTCTGCATATTTGTAGGGCAATGGGTTGTTGGTTGTTTCGTTGTCAGCCAGCGAGCCAGAGTTCCTCGTTGCTTCGTGGCCATCTGATATGATCTTCAATATCGAGTGAGCGTAGGCAGCAGCTATTGATGAATGTCTGTAGTTTGTTGGAAATGCTTTGCGTAACGCGCCAAGTCTCTGAAGCATCACACAGAAGCATTGACTTGGCATTGTTACAAATCCCGATCTTGTTCTTCATGCGGATTGCAGTCGATCTTCACACTGGTTTCAGATTAATGAAGATTTCCAATAGTATAATGAAAGCTAAAGTATCTTACACGTCTTACTTACCTCGCTTGATAAAAGTTCCCAAGTTTACCAAGTAAACTGTTTTCTTGTTGCTGTTGTTGGTTGTATTATCCCGTTGTTGATTGGGCATAATTGATCGGTCTCTATTGATATATGAGCTCTTGCGCGGATACCTCCATCATCAATATATAATTAAAAAACAGCCAATATCGAGGCATCCGCGCAGGAGTCCATATGCCAATAGAGATTGGTCAATTCGGTCCAGTCAAC